GCCAATCACCTACACCCTATGTATGGCCCTTCATTTTCTCATATAAAATTTTTCTCTAACAACACAAGAGAATTCTACTTGTACATGTAATTTATAATAAGGTATATGCTCTATTTCAGCATACCTTGCAGTAGCTGCAGAACTGTAGCTCTCTGCTTGAGAAAATTTGGACAGATAAAGAAGAGAGCTACAGATCCAAGCGTTGTAAAACTTGATTTAAAAGCCGCCGACTGCAGGGCAAATTTGACAAAAGTGGTCTTGTAGATTATTATTTTAGTAAAGGAATAATTTATTTATTAGCATTAGTCATTCAACAAGGTAAGATTCATCTCTCTAACCAGGCAGATCATCAATGAACCTTAAAACTCTTTTAAGCGTGACTTACTTTCAATGGTGTTGAAATACGAGATCACATCCTCATTATAGACATGTTTCTTGAACTCCTGTCCGATACACAGATTGCTACAAAAGCTGAACAGCAGTGTTAGAACAGGCCAAAGGTTCACAGTCATTGTACACTTGTTCAGCACCTGATACAAGTTGTATTTGAACACTTCTTGGTCCCTGTCAATATCTCTGATGCACGAAATCAATTCCGCTTTTGATAAGATAAGCTTGCATAGATACTTTCCAAATATCTCCCGTTTCACACCATTATCAGACGTCACCGTTAACAGAGTTTTTAAATCTCTCTCTATTGCCATGAGTATGGTCACATTTCCATTCGCCAAGGAATGATAAATATTTGGGTTGGCTCCGTATCTTAGGAGCAAGTTAAATAGGTCACTGTTATCGGATGCCAGACTCATCAACAAGGGAGGCAACTCATCAGGTGTCTGGGCATTACAGGGTAGTCCTTTATTGAGTAGAAACTGAACACCCACTAGTGACCAGTGTGTTGCCACATGACACAGGATGGAAACATTTGTGCTGTACTGTAAGGTGGTAAAGAGGGGGTTCGTATGGGCAAATACTCCCAGGGGTAGCTTTGTGGAAATGTCCATTCCGTGATCTATCAGAATCTCCAAGCACTGAGTGGTAGACGCCTGGGTGGCCATAATCAAAGGATGCATGTTCTTGCTGACATTTTTGTATAAGCAGTCTTTATCAGTGACAGGAAGCAGGACTTTTAGACACCTACAACACAATAATAAATAATAACATACAAGTATTGTCTAACCATTTGTCTGATGTTGTTATTTTTTTCAAATGATGAAAAACAAGAGACTGAAGAGGACGCAAAATACCTCTGATAATCAGAGACCCAATAGCAAACTTATTAGAGCTTTTGGAACCCAAACCTTTCTACTTTTTAAATTCTTTTTTTTTTTGAAGTAGGGGGGGGGGGCAAAGCAAATATGGCAAAACTTGTATAAAACACAATAGACTGGAAAAATTTCCAGTCTATTGTGTTTTACCAACCTTGGGTGTTCTTTATATATTGCAAAATGTGCCGCCACCCCCATGTAGTCTGTGACAGGAATATTGGGGTTGGCATTGTGGGTCAACAGAAGCTTGATACACTCTTCGTGCCCCTCCTGAGCTGCTATTAAGATGGGTGTGGCATTGTCCGTGGTGGTTTTGTTTACAGCCTCCAGCTGACCTGACATAAAGATAGAGCAAATCAATTAACATGCACAATTATAGCTTTGCAGAAAAGTTTTGAGTTAAACTTCACTAAAAATCAGTAATCTTGAAACACTGATATCTCGAACAGTATAATAGTGTTCAAGATATCAGTATAATTGATATGGCAAAGTGTTTTGGAAGTCCCAACCCTCATTCTTTGCATTTTTTTTAATCCTGGATATTTTTAATTCTTGGCTATGTCCAAGTTTTTTTCTCAGTCTCACTGAGTTTGAATTAAGTTGTTACTATGATTTTTTAACATTATATTTATAATATGTTCTTAAGAGTAAATCTGGATGTTCAAGTTTTTGACTGAGAACTTTCATTGAAGAAAAAAGAAATCATAGATATCCCACCTCTGTCTTTGGCACATTTCAGAAGAATATCTAGGCACTCCAAGTGTCCAAACTGGGCAGCCAGGAAGATGGGTGTCAATTTGTGATCAGCCTCCAGGTCTAAGTACGCCCCAAAGTCCAGCAGGAGTTCCACTAATGCCCTGTAGCCTTTCTCCGAGGCCAGATGTAGGGGAGAGTACCCCGTGAACACTTGCCTGTTAACGTCAGCTCCATGGCGTAGCAAACATTTAGCACAGCTTACACTGTTAGCACCAACAGCTGTAAATACATACCCGGTAATACAAGTTAACAGTAACCAGAGGCCTATATCCAGTAATGCTCACCTTATACATAATTAATATGTATATAAATGAAAATTCTCATGATAGCCATCAACTTTACAACATCCAGGAATTAAACAATTTCAGATAACATCACATTGAGATTTGAAGTCAAGTTATAAATTGTTGTCTTGCTATCTTGCAGAAGTATATATATTTCAAATTAAGCTCGGAATATCCAACATGGCTCCATCCTAGCCTTAGGGGCCATGATTTGAACAAATTTAAATCTCTATTGCATGCTGATGGCTGTATTTTTAAAACATAAATAAATTGAACTCTGATATTTGAGAGAATGAGATTTACAGATTCCTCCCTATACATCTCCATGTAAAATATTCAACCCTCTTCTTCAGTCAGAATTAAACCACCCTCCCTTTTCCCATCCACAGTTGGAGAAAGGAGGGGGGGGGGGGGGTAAATCTGACTGACCCCTCCTGTGGTTCACAATGACTTACCTTCCCACAGTGGAGTATACAGTTCATTGGTGGGACTGTTAACCTCTGCTTCATTTTTCAGCAGCAATCTTGTACACTGAAGATGTCCAGCCCTGGCTGCCAGCAGCAAGGGTGTCTCTCCTTCAAATGTCTTCCAATTCACATCAGCATTCTCTGTTTCAAAGAGATTGACAACGTTAGTAGGCCTTAATATGTAGGAATTAAAGACTTTACATTGATGTAGTATGAATTGTTTACAGAATTTTTTACCGGTATATCCTGTTTACAAACTTACATTGCCAGACCTCAAAGATTAAGTAAAATCCAGAAAAAGAACACCCATAAACATTTCATGAAGTTGTATACTTAACAAATAATATTTCAACTAATGGATCTCTCTCTCTCTCTCTCTCTCAAAAGTATGCTTAAACCTGCTTTTAGTTACACACCCTGCCTAAGTAGAAACTCCAAACAACCAGAATTTCCAGCATAAGCAGCCTCATGTATAGCTGTCCATCCTCTGTTGTCTCGAACATCATGAGGTTTTCCTGGAAACAAAGAAACGTTCAAATCAGGAAAAAACTAGAAGACATGTTGATGTCTACGAGATTTCAGTGCAACTAATTTTGCAACATTTTTAATTCTATATGTCCATCGGACATCCTATCATATTTATGTATGTGAATTAAACATGATCAGTAAGCATCAAAATTCATTCACAATAAATTTAATTTGAGATAATAATCCTACATCTGTATCCAGACCCTTTCTTTTTATGAATTATTATTGCAATACAGTCAAAGAAATACAATGTACTACCAAGCAAGGAACACCAAAAACCAAATAGACAAGTAACTGTTTCTGTTTTTTCTGACCTTGCCAAATAAGATTCTGTATGGAGACCAGATCCCCCAATCTCGCTGCTAATCCAACAGAAGAACATGTGTCTGAGTAGGCCTCCGAGAAATCCATGTCTCCATTTAAGTAGCTCAATAATGTGTCAAAGTCACCAACTGTGAATACATCAAAATCCAACTAATTAGATTCAACACAAAGCATTTCAGGGAACATTTCAATGATCTTTAAGACATCAGTTATGTGGACTCAGTAGCATAGAAATTTTATCAGACATTCAAAGTTTCCATCGCTTTTGTGTCTATAAACTTTGTATAAACTAATGAAATTCATACATTTGTTCTTTGAACACAAGGAAAATATAAATATATCATCTATAGATGTAACTAAAGAGTTTCACCATAAGTGCCAGTCTGTACTGTCAACCCAAAGAAAAAATATTTTGACAACAAATTCCTAGAATTGATGAACAGAAATCACTTGGATCTAGCTCTGGATAAATACATAACGGTGACCTTTGACAAATATGCTATAGGGAGGGGGACTTGGAATTACTCTGATTGTTGCATGGCTAAAAGGAAAGAAATTGCTGTCTTTGCATACACAACACTTAGCTCAAATTAATTCCATTTTATCACAGTCTTTTGGTAAAATGTCTGCTCTTTTTTTTTTTTACAAGCACTTTGAATTATTTGTGGCTTGCTTTGTAATAATATAAACAATTCAGATTCTTTGAATGTGCACACACTGATCCTCCGTTTATTCTTATTTAATTTTATTGGAATTCAGAAGTCATGACTTGGCCAGGGTTTATGTGAACTATAGTGAATGGAGAAAGCGTTGTTTTGGGGATAATATTCATGCAAATTAGTTTTTGGCTAAATAAGGTATATTCACATAAGATTTCAATTTATTTTTTAAGAATGGTCACCGAATAAGAATTCAACAGAATAGAATTTTATGTACTACTTTGGTGTCTAGAGGGTCTTTAGCATGTTCAATGTGCAAATTTTCTAAATCTAATTAGGGCCTACTTTTAAATTCGACTTTATAATTATAAACCAAAATTGATACAACCCTGCCACAACAGAGATTAAATTGTATTAGTAAAATATGCAAGCCATTGAGCTTAATACCTGCTAAAACACAAGAATCCTGCACAACATTGCATCACAAAAGATTTGAGAGGGCCCTTCACAGAGTGTCGTTCAAAGAATGATTCGGCCCACACATTGTGATAAAAACATGCCTCAAAAGTTCATCAAATGATAGTTACATCATTCTAAAATATTTTTTGTCAATCATATAAATATTTTTTTATAGTAATTTCTAAAATGTCTTTCAGACAAACTACGTACGTAAAATTACGAAATAATTGTTACTGCACTACTTACACACTTCACTTCCGCTTTGTTTTTCGCACAGAAAACGACAACAAAATTTAGAAAATAACGAAAGTTTTGTAATTTTTTATAGATTGAATATATAAATTAAAGAATGGGATCCTCAAAGAAACATAAAGAAAAGGATAGAGACCGAGAACACAAGAAGAAAAGAAAACACAGGTCTCGTTCTCGCTCCAAAGAAAGAAAAAGGCACCGACACGAACGTGATAGAGAACATTCGGACCGGGAGAGATATCGACGAGAGGAAGAGTACCTTGAAAATGATGATTATTATCCAAAGGAGCTCGAAGATGTTGAAATTAAGGCATCGTCTAAAGGTGTAATTTCTGAGATATTTCTTTTCTTTTATTTTTATTGAAAATCCCTTCATTATTCACGTCTAGTTAACTTCTGTTAAAAACAGTATTAAGTTATGTTAGGTATAGTCAGGGTAGTGGAAAGTTAAGAAACCTGAAGTGGGAAAAGCGTATATCTATTCAAATTGTTATCTTAGTATTTATAGCTGTTAGAGTGGCTATAATGTTATTGTGGAAACGTGCGAAACTGTTTGGCCGTTTGGGTAACATGAAAGATTATGCCTGAATTGGGCTTAGCTGTTGCATTGTTAATTGTGCATGATAATGCATCTAGAAACATGCAAATTTTGTTTTGTCTGTTTTTATCAATAATCAGAATGTTACATTTGTATTTGCAAAACAAATATTTTTAATTTCTGTCATTTCTTCTGGTGAAGTGCTATTTAGATTATTGAACGAAATAATTATTGCTTATAATTACAGGATAATAATAATTATGTTAAAAGTCAAACAACATTATATTCTCTTCAAATAGTGCTACTATTTAATAGGGATGTCAAATCGGTCCAGTTTTAATACTCGGTTACTCGGACGTTTTTCCGATCGAGTACCCGGGTACTCGGTAAAAGTCTAAATAAATATGAACAAGTTAATTGATAACTGTAAAACATTGTAAACCCTTGTAGAAATAAAACCACATGGTCTGATGGGAGGTTTACCTGTAAATGTATTGTAACAATTATGACCACTTTGTGCCCGACGAAATTTAATCTAACATTTTTTTTAAGTTCAATTTATTTATCAGATAAATGCGAGAAATAAAATCATAAATAGTTCACAGTGGTTTTGTTTAAAAAAAATAATCTGTTCCCTAATTGTAATGTTACTCTGATGCGTTTGAAGTCCAAGTAATAAGTCGTCAGAGCTACATGTACAGTATCAACTTGATCAAGTTTTCCTATAACAGAGCGAATTTACGATCTCCGTATACTTTTCGATCCTAGATTTTATAAAATTACGAGATGGTATGTTGTAGTTCAGTGCAAAGATGGACATATTAAGATTTTTAAAGCCTTTGCCTTCAACCATTTGCATTAATTGGCATGTAATCAAACGCATCCATATCAACAATCGCACGTGCAATTTCGTCTCTCTTTCCCCGAGAATTTACGGCTTCTGGAGAATTGACAATATTATCTAATTTATTTTAAACATAATAGACCTTTAACGATGTTCAATGAAAACAAATAATTAGAGCAAAACAAAAATAAGGGTAGAAGACAGCCGAAGGTGAGAAAAGCCAGGTAGGTAACCGGTGCTTGGTCACGGTAATTACTGTATAAACACTGCCACAGGCGATAACGGTCATTTAGAGGCGCAGGAAACCCTAATTACTGTATGTACAAGTGCAATGAACATTTTACGTTTTAAAACCGATTTTTAATGCATTAATAAACAAGCTTAGAAATATTTAAAAATATTTATCCGAGTAACCGAGTACCATTTTTAGTATTCGATACTCGGACGTTTTTTTGGGTATGTGTTGTAGTACCCGGTTAACCGGGTACTCGTTGACATCCCTACTATTTAATGATGAAAAGCATTCAATGACGAGATCTAAACAATTTTTTCTCTGACATTAATTTTGTTCACTTATATTGTGGTCTAGGTATTTTTATATCAATAATTCAATATATCAAGAAAAGGATTACTAATCCAAACAGTAAGCAATTTTTAAATTTAATGCTGACATAAATATTTAGTCAGCAATTTTACTTGAATTGATTGCCACGTTACTTTTATCCCCAATATTTTTGAAAAATCTGCAAATGATTGGAGTGTTTGAAAATGACTGATTTCAGCGATGAACAAAATGTAATTGTAAATAGGGATATGGTTTTAAATCATTTTATGCAAAAATAATCCTTGTTTATTGTTTTCAATCTTATCATCAACAATAACATTGCAGCCACTGTATAAATGTAGAAGTAAAGCAACTAGTGTATTCTGCTGTTTGCATTTCATTTCTTGTGCACACATTTAGTACTTGTTGGACAATCACAAGAGAAAAGACTGTAATAAAACCAATTTTTCCTAAACTCTCCTTCAGGGTCCTACACAGATGCACCTGCCCCTATGGGAGGAACAAGTGGAGACGTCTCTCTGAGTATAGAAGAGACAAAGTATGATTTTTTTAATACATTCATTAATTTGAGCTCGTTTCATATATTTGTACAATTTTTTTAAATTATTAAATGCTGTTTAAATACAGAATTATGAGAAGAATACCAGTAATTGTGCCTGTTTCAGCATATTACTTTATGTTGAGAACATCCATTAGATTGAATTGTAAAAATAGTTTCATTTTTCATTCACAGTCGTATAAGAGCCAAATTAGGATTGAAACCTCTTGATGTTGGTTCGGAGAAAAAACAGACTGGTAGGTATTGAATATATGATGAAGTTAAACTAAAAATAGTAAAATTTTCACAGCACAGACTTTAAACAATTGTTGAAAGGTGAATTATTGTCAATTTATTGAGATGTTACTGATACATATTTATATGACATAAAGCTCATGTACACTTTCATTTTTATTTATGTAAAAAATTACATTAAAAATTGCAGATGAAGGTTTCCTAATCACAAAAGAAGGAGATGTACACAAACCTGCCATGAGTCTAACAGAGAAGAAAGAAACTGAGAAACTGAAGGAAAGAATTCAAAAAATGAAGGATAAAAGGAAAATCAAAGACCAGTTAGGGTAGGTTATGGGTTTGCAGATCTGTAGCTCACTGGTCTGAACAAACTGAGATGTACGAATAGAGAGCTACAGTGCTGCCAATTGAAAAAAAAGTGTATATTTATTGCGCACAAAAAGTGAGCTACAGATATGCATTAAGTAATGGGTTAAATAAATTGAAAGAACTTTAAATTGATTCTACCATGTATTGCACTTTTATCTTATATATATATTTTTAATATTGATCCATTGTTATTTAATTTTCTATGTATTTCAGCAAAGTAAAAACTCTGGGTGAAAGTGATTCCGAAGATGACACAACAGCCTGGGTGAAGAAAAGTCGACAAAAACAGAAAGAAAAGGAACTGGCAGAAAAAAGGGTAGGAAAAAAATTCTAGATGTTGTAATATTTTCCTGAGGATTTTTATGTTTAATTGTAAGAAAGAAATTTGGGTATTTCATGTGCATTTTCTTTCAAATAAAGTTCTTTGAAAAAAAAATTGAGCTGAATGATGAAATGTATGATAGAATTTTATTTACTTGTGCATAAATCATAAATTTCTTATCAATCAGTTCTGCTAGTTAATATAATATTAAAATACAGAAAGTTACAATTATTAGACAGTGACATGTTTACATGTAGAAGTGTAACATACAGCGATAGACAGTCATCTCAAAGGCTGACATTATTATGTAATTTTGAAATTTATTAAACTTTAAAATCAAGGCAGGTCTCTAATAAGAATTATGCAATTTGATGTTGCAGGCGAAACAGTTAATGGAACTAGATGAAGCATTTGGATTGGAGGACATTGTTAAAGAGGAATTTAAAGATAACAAGAAGGTGAGTTTTGGTGAGACTGAGAAAAAATAGGGATCTGTAGTTCATGTACTAATTTCATCCAGTTTATTAAATAAGAAGTAGAGAGTTTGGGCATTTTTTGGTCAGTAAATCACATAGGGATAAACAGTTAAACTCGTTCATAAAGAAGTCACTGTGACCCAGGAAATTACTTTGTTATATCCATAATTTGTTATATGCATATAAGGATAAGGAATTCCTTAAATCTATGTAGCTTGGCATCCAAGATAACTTTGCTATATCCTTGAATTCATAATATCTGTGTTCGTACTAAATGAGAGTTTTACTGTACATAAAAATCTGTAACCCACATTAGCATAAAACGGTATAACCTGTATAATATATAGGATGCAAAGTTAAAAAAAATATGCTTGAAATTATTCTCACTCCCACTGTTTCTCTTATTTCCATTGCTTTAAATCTTATTTCCTAACCATTTACAGGAATATACATCTAAGGATTTGAGAGGTCTGAAGGTGGAGCACTCTGTGGACAGATTTAAAGATGGACAGTCCATTATTTTAACACTGCAGGACAAAGGTATATGATAAAGTAGTATTATAAAAAAAAATTGTCAGTACCTTGTTATAAGAATGAAAAAAGTAATTTTTTTCAGTGCTAAGATGAAGTTTAAAATCCATAATAGATATTTAATTATAAATGAATGTAAATTTCTTGCTAATGTGAATCTACATGCTAATTTTTGCCCATTATCACTTGCAAACAATTAAGTCTATCTCTATTTTGAAATTGCCACTATTGATAAAGAGTAAAAATAAATGGAGGGAAAATTACATTCTATACATTTTAAAGCTTGCTAATTTTTTTTCTATTACTAAATATTAAATATTATTGTACCTGAATAAATATGCATATGAAATACACATGATGAATCTGTGTTGTACAGGAGTGTTAGACGAAGATGAAGGAGACACGTTAGTTAACGTTAATCTCGTGGATGATGAAAAGGCGGAGAAAAACGTGGAACTTAAGAAGAAGAAGCCAGATTACAACCCCTATGATACTGGGGATGTAGATGAATTTGGAATGGTAGGGCTTTAGCAAAATACACTGTTCTTGTAATTGTGTACATCAGAAAAGAAATCTTAAATTATATTTTTGACAGGAAGTATCGAAAATTCATATTTCATTCAGTTCCTGTGTATCAGAGAAAATACTGTACATGTATGTTTTTCCACATTGGATTAATTTACTATCTTTACATAGTAAAAATAAATCAACATAAATTTGACAAAGTGTATTTAAAATGCATTAACTAAATACAACAGCAATCCAAGATATCTGTGTAATAAACAGAAATTAATTATGGTTATTCAGAATTTTGACTTTTTGTAAAAGTGCATTTACAACGCACAGAGATATTTACATGTATACATGAAAACAAGGGTCTTAGGATATAAAAGATTTTGATATGCTTTTTATTCTGTATTTCACAGTTCAAACCAAAGAATGTGTTAGATAAATATGATGAAGAGATAGAGGGTGTTAGGAGGGAGAAGTTTGAGTTAGGGTCGGGTGGAAAGTACGATACTGACCCCGAAAAACAGATGGATGAAATTCGTAGACAGCTGAGAGAACAGAGTCAGTCCCTGGGAGGAGTGACCTTGAACCCAATCAATGAGTACCTCACCCCTCAGGAAGCAGCTGTGAGTATCAGCATTTGACCTACTTTTTGTAGACTTTGTATACATTTAATACAAGAAAGATTTTTCAAGCTGTAAAATGACAGATATAAAGTGCATTCATCTAGAAAAAATGGAAAATTAACACTCATAATCAAAATTGAACAGCAATTTAGTTGTAAGCACTTCATAGCATGTAAATAGATAGTTGCATAAATACTGATGTTACATGTACTAATAATATCTGTTTTAAAAGGATGCAGCAAAGTTTAAAAAGGTTAAAAAGAAAGTAAGGAAAATCAGGAAAAAAGAATCACTAAAAGCAGATGACCTACTTCCTCTGCCAAATCAAGGTCAGGGGGACACAGATTATGGGTCAAGGTAAAGCTTGTATTTTGAATGAAGATAGTTAAATGGCAACATTTGATTAAAAGTTACACAATTTAATTGGTATATGTGAAGAAATAAAAAGTGCTGTAATCAAAAGCTGCAAATTTAATGTGTAAGATTTACCATGTACATTTGTGTTCATGAATTGCAACTGTTACATGAAGTTCAATAATAAAGCTTAGCAAGTTAATGTGTCTTCATTATACATTAAAGAACCTTTCAAAAAGAAAAGATATGATGTAAGAATTTTTCTTGCAGGAAAAGAGGGAGGGGGTACATGCGAGAGGAGGAGGAGGCTGTTGAGGGTCAGACAGGGTATGAGAACGGTTACGGTGGGGGTGGGGGCATGACGGCTCCCATTGTGATAGACTACGCCCACGGTCACACAGCGGTCAGTGTTAATGACCAGCCAATGGAGGTCACAGAACCAGAGGAAGAGGAGGGTACGTGTATACTGGCTATTATTGTTTGATATTGTGTACCAATTTCAAACAAGCAGAATATGTATACTGGATATTTATATTTGAAACTTTGTTCCAATTTCACACAGATGGAACCACAGTTTGATATGGGGAAAACTTTGAAATTTTTCACCAACATACACACTGTAAAAATAATTTTATTTTACAATAAGACCTGTATTGAAATATTCACTTTGTTTAAATGATGAAAATTATCTTTCACCACTTAGCATCATACAATGCTTGCAGACATTTAATCCAATTTTTTAGAATTCACGCAAATTCAAAAATTGAAGTTAGAGGTAGGCAAAAAAAAAATTAATCAATAGTTTCTCAGGCCAAAAAAATCAGAATTCAATGCGGCAGGCAGGCTTTTTTTTTTTTTTTTGGAAGCAGGTTTAACACCTTTTCTAAGCTATTTTTTCATTAAAATTGATAATATCGAACAATTCTTAATTTTTGTTCTCTGAAATTGGTTGTAATATGTATTCAACTTTAAATAATGTTACTCCAAACATTTATTTAAAAGTTAATTAATATAATACTTAAAATTTATAAGAAATGTATTGTTTTTCTAATAAAAACGTTTGTTTTAGCATTGATGAAAAGGGGAATATCTCCATTTTCTTTTTCAACATGGAAAAATAGAAAATTGAGTTATCTCTCTTTTCAATATGTCAATAAAATTGATCAATGCGGCCGTTTTTGAACTGATGCAGCGGTACCTGAGAAACTATTGATTAATTTTTTTTGGCCTTACTTGTCAAAATTATGTTCTAAATTGTCTGGAATTCACATTAACATGAACTACATTATTTTAATTAATATATGTAAATTAATTATCTTTCAGACTTGGTTGGTCCAGATGAGGATCTCAGTAATGTTGTAATAGAGGAAGACGAGGCAGAGAAGGAGTTACACTCGGCTCTGTCTAAAGCCAGGAAAATCAAGCAGAGGAAAGACGCATCAGCTGTCATCAAGGTAGAAATCCAAATCTTACTGTCAATGTTAAAATGTTAAATAATTGATGATACTACTGATGAGATAATTGGTTGTCTAAATTAGGTTATCTTTGGTATGTTGAAAGGCTAATTGGTAAAAAGATGCCAGTTGGCAAATATTGTCTACCTCACATTTGACAAAATTTAAGATTAGTATAAAACAAGAATACATATTTTCTTGATTTTTGAGAAGCCATTTTCTTCTTGTATTTTTAGGTAGCAGAGCAGGTTCTCTTAAAAGCTAAATCAGAGCCAGAGGAAGAAGAAGAAGAAGCCCCCCAGGACGGTAACATTATCCTCAATGCTACCTCCGAGTTCTGTAGAACCCTGGGGGATATTCCTACGTACGGCCAGTCAGGGAACAGAGAGGAGGATCAGGAGGATTTCATGGTCAGTCGGTAGATGTGTGTTTGAATGACAGAGGCCATTTGTTTGCAAGATTATTTCTGCCCCATTTTAATTTTGCTGTTTTACACATGCAAAAAAAATTTACTCCGTTTTAATTTGCCCAATAACAGTCCTGTTTCAGAAATTATACCATGTTCTTTGAATTCACCTTGAAATTTGCCTACCTGTGAGGGTGGCAAAAAAGGACAAAAATTTCCCGAAATACAATATTTAGAGTATATTTGTTTGATGGAGAGAGATTATTTGTTCTATCAAATCTACAAAAGAGGTTAAATGCATGCATAAAAGTTCTTCTAGAGATTGAGGCAGTGATCATCATGGTATGGTCTACATTACAAAAAAATTTATTCATATATTAAAAAATTAAAGACCAGGAATTCTGATCCATGCTCCCTTGTCTTTTCATAAGAATATACATATAAGAAATTTTATTTTCTGTGGTATTTGGATTTCAGTATTTATGAAATAAGTTCTTGTCAGTTTTTCTTATAATCAGTGATGTTTTCAGGATTTTGAGAAAGAACTTGAAGAACGAAGGAAAAAAGAAGAAGATGAGGAACAAATGTCAGGTTGGAATGCTGTGGAAATTGACGAGACACCTGTCAATATCGCCGTAAGTATTTATTTACCTGATGTCAATATCACTGTAAGTATTTAAGTTTGCAGTACCTGTTACATTGTTATATCAGGGACCTTAAAATTTTACAATTACAATTGATAATATTTTTTCGCTCACCTGAGCCAAAGGTATCAAGTGAGGTTTTCTGATCAAAATTTGTCGGTTGTCATTGTTGTAAACTTTTCACATTTTCATCTTCTTCACAAGAACCACTGGGCCAACTTCAACCAAACAAGTTTGTTCAAATGAAGGACCATGCCCTCTTCCAGGAGAGATAATTATGAATCAGTGATAAATTAATTATATCTTTTATAAATCTTTTTCTCAAGAACCAGTAGGCCAGGAAAGACGAAAATTATGTGGAAGCATCCTCTGGTAGTGAATATTCAAGTTTGTTCAAATCATGACCCCCAGGTGTAGGGTTGGGCCACAAATGGCCGATCAAAGTTTTACATAGAAATATATAGGTAGATTTTTTCAAAATCTTCTTCTCATGAATAGCAAAGGCATGAATGATCATATTTATATGGAAGCATCCTCAGGTAGTGTAGATTTAGGTTTGTTCAAATCGTGACCATCAGGGGTGGGGGGGGGGGGGGGCTTCAATGGCCTATCAAAGTTTTACTTAGAAATATATAAGGAAAATCTTAAAAAATCTTCTTCTCAAGAATAGCAAAGGCATGATTGATCATATTTATATCGAGCGCAGCGAGGCGGCACAAAGCACCGCTCGCATAGTGAGCTCAATAGACTAACGTGTATGAACGGAGGAAATTCGGGTTGAAATCTGCACATTGTTCCAAGAAATTTTTATCTCACTGCGTGAAAAAATTCCAAACTCCCAATAATCCTTTGCGGTGCATATAGCAACATGGTGGCTAAAACATAGCAACAACTTACTTGAGAAAAACTACAAACAATGATTTAATGCAATTTCCCTGTCATAAAACTATCGTTTGCGTTCTAAAGTCAACAAAACTTTTTATTTGACGTCATACTTTCGTCACTTAAACGGCTCGAGTATTTCTGATTTTGTCGGAAACTTCCGAAAAGTTCGGAATCTCGATCCCGATGCCTGGGAAGATTTCTTTTTATTATCTTCTGTTATTTTAAATGAACTGTGGATATGCAGTGCAAGTAAAAGCTGTGAAATGGTTTTTGATAGTAAATAACTGCGCTCACTCCAACGGTCGCACCGTAGAACATATTATGGAAGCATCCTCAGGTAGTGTAGATTCAATTTTGTGCAAATTCATCCCCAGGGGGTAGGGTGGGGCACAACATGGAATCCAAGATTTACATAGAAATATGTAGAAAATTCTTTAAAAATCTACTTTTCAAAAAAGGCAAAGCCATAATTAGTCATATTAATATGGAAGCATTCTCAGGTAGTGTAGATTCAAGTTTGTTCAAGTCATGACCCCTGGGTGTAGGGTGGGGCCACAAGTTAAGTTAATGTAAAGGGCCATAAAGGAGCTACAGTTAGTTAAAGAAATATGCAAGCATCCTTAGTGTAGATTCATGTTTGTTCAAATCATACATTCTCCCATTTAAGGATTAGTTGGGACCACTTTTGGGTTTAAACTTTTCAATAATAAACTGATTTCTGCTTGTTCCGTATCCACATTGCTCAGGTGAGCAATGTGGCCCATGGGCCTCTTGTGAGCGTTTTCAATTAGGCAAAAAAAAATGCTCTTGTTTCCTTTGACCCGACCTTCCCTACATTTTACCCTCTGACCCTAAAAGTTTTTTTTTACATTTTCATTTTTAATTCACCTGAGCTGAAAGCCCAAGGGAGTAGAGTGGGGCCAGTGGCCACGATAGAGAATCCAAGTTTAACATAGAAATATATAGGAAAAGTTATTAAAATCGTCTTCTCAAGAACCAATGGGCCAGGATAGCTTAAACATATGTGGAAGCATCCTGGGGTTGTGTAGATTCTAACTTGTTCAAATCATGAGTTCTGGGGGTAGGGTGGGGGCCACAATGGGGAATCCAAGTTCTACATAGAGATATATAGGAAAAATCTTTAAAAATCTTCTTCTCAAGAACCACAGGGCCAGTGGAGTTGAAACTTATATGGAAGCATCCTGGGGTAGTGTAAATTTCAAATTATTCAAATCATGACCCCTGGAGGTCGGGCGGGGCCACAATGGGGAATGAAAGTTTTACATATATAGGAAAGATCTTTAAAAATCTTCTTCTCAAGAACCACTGGACCAGGAAAGCTGAAACTTACATTGTATGTGGAAGCATCCTTGGGTAGTGCAAATTCTAAATTGTTAAAATCATGACCCAAGGGGTAGGGCAGGGCCACAATAGGGAATCCAAGTTTTACAGAGAAAGAAAAGGAAAAAATCAAAACTTCAAATTGTTAAAATCATGACAGATAGGAGATGGGGTAGGGGGCCACAATAGGTAAAATAAGAGAGGAAATCTGATGAAGAACTACCTCACCAAAGTTAGTCAGGTGAGCCCATGGGTCTCTTGTTTAGAGGGCTATTTTCCTGAAATACTCAAGTCGATCAACAATATTTACAGAACTAATACATCACAAGTATACAGGATATCTTTACTTTATAAATCTTTATAGACAAACTTGCTTTGTAAACTGTTAACTGTTTTATTGTTATTACATGCTATGTGTTCAGCATTCATTGAGTTTTGAAAATATTTTTTTTTCTCAAAATAAAATTTTTCCCTTCCTACCTACCCTATATTTTGATCAGGGGACAGAAAACAAGAGTATATTTTCTTTTGGCTTTAGGCAGTGTCTAATTTTCTGAACCTGAGGATCAGTGTGTCTTAAATTCACTCCTTAAAGGTACTTGGACACAGATTTGAAGTTATTATTTTCCCTATAATATTACGACTTATATATTTTAATAGCATTTTACAAAAATTAATTAAAATCTTATTTCTTATAAAAGATATTAAAATTTCAAATTTTTTGGCGGGTTTGATTGACACATCCTTGCACTTTCATAAATTAGTTTTATTCTTAATCCTTAGGGAAAAGTGGCAATCTTCTTCTGTATAAATGAAAAATATTTATAATCCAGAAAATTCAGAGTAGACATGTTCAAAAGCAAAACAAACATGCAATATATTGTCAGTTTGTGCAGGTGTGGTAAGCAGACTGTGACGTTTGAACGCACCCGTAGAATTATAAGCATCAACAATAACAGAACTCGTGCCCTGTTTACAAAACTGTGTACATAACACGAGTGTGCTCGATTTGCTAAACTCTGTACGCAACTCTTAGTTCGGAATGACGATACTTGTGAGGGAGTCAGTTTTGCTTTCTAACATTTTTACTCTGAATAAAATCATTTTTCTGGATAAAAGTTTTAATATTTCTCATTAATACACAACAAGATTGCCACTTTTCTTAAGGATTAAGAATAAGGCTAAAATTTGTGAAAGCGCAAGGATGTGTCAATCAAACCTGCCAAAAAATTTTGAAGTTTTAATAACTTTGAAATGAAATTTTTTGTGTGAAATGCTATTTAAATATATAAGTCGCTATATTATAGAGAAAATATTGACTTCAAATCTGTGTCCAAGTACCTTTAAATATTTACTTTTCCAATGTCTTTATCCGAGATAATTTTACAAATAGTTAATGTACTTTATTTCTTCATGAATGCAGTCATATCATTTAAACAAAGAAGATTTAATAGACAGATATCTTTTAATTCCAAATCCAAAGAAGTGTTTATGCAATGTTTTCCATTGAAATTAATTTACAGTATGTACAATTTGTTCAGTATAATGTTCAATAGAGGGAACATTATTCAGGATATACATTTCTGTGCTGGAAATCACAAATTTAAGTTTTATAATTATGTACAACTGATAGAATTATAATCACTTTAGATACTTGTACACCGTCAGTGTGTTGGTGAATCTGTGTCCTACATAGAGATTGTTCTCATCATCCACACACACACTACGGGGAAACTCTACCCCTTGTTGTGGTGTGAGTAATAGAGACAAGAACTGACCGTCCTGATCAAGGAGGTGAACAGTGTTACTGATTTCATCACACACCAGGATGTGACCGAGGACATCAGTACAGATTCCACAGGGCCAGAACTCTGACTCCTGACCTGTGTAGGAGAACCTGTATTGTCCTGATTTATTCACCACCACTACAGCACCTTTATTAATGTCTGATGTACAGATATCGCCATTGATGTTTTCTGTAATGTAGTGTGGTGACATATACAGTTCCAATCCTTTATTATCCCTCTGTATGTTCTGTAGTTCTTTTCCTGTCTTGTTGTACCGGATGACTTTAGCCTCTTTATCTGTTTTCATCCCCACCAGTAAGTCCCCATTGATGTGGGAGGAGTGTATGCTGAGTGGTACCCAGTCTCCAGTTTTAATGAATTCAGTTATATTATTATCCTGTGTTATCCTATTGATGACATTTTTGTTTTGGTCTGTAAAGATCAGATCCCTGTCCTGTGTGACTGTGTGGTAACCTTCAGATCCACCACTGGTTTCTATCTTCTGTATCACATTCCCCTGTAGATCTGTTTGGACAAGATTACCAATACTGTCACTGATCCAGAGTCTGCCTGATTGATCTAGTGATACATGGAATACATTTCTAACACTTGGTACATGGAACTCCCTGACCTTGGTGACAGAGGCAGAGAGAGACAATGTTTGTTTCTTGTCAGATTTCATATCTTTATCCTGTTTTGTCTGTTTACTTGCAGATTTCATTGATGTAGAAAAAGAAGCAATTTCCATGGGCTCTACTCTTCTGAGTTTTTCCTTTCTATTTGTTACAGTTATCTTCCCCAGTAATTTATCAACATCACCTTTGCTGTATTGAGCAGGAGAAAATTCTGGTGTGACAGGTTTTGTGGTTTCTGGAATGGATTTTATTTCTAAATTCTCTGGAAGTTTAGTTGTGAAGTTGGTGAGCTCAGTAGAGGACAGGTAACTCTGGAACTCTTTAACAAGGTCACTGAGATAGGCAATATAATCATCAAATGTCTTCTCTTGGCTCTTTAATTTCTCCAGTAATGACTTCTCTATTTGGTTTAATTCTTCCATATTTTCTGAGAGAACTGTGTCCACCAAGTTTTTTAGAGACTCGGCTGCAGCCTTCATGGATGTCCGTATGCTGTCCATGATCTGTTTAACTTCTGTGGCATCTTCCTGAACTTCTCTCTTTAAATCCTCTGATATAGGAACAAAGTAATTATGGATTTTAGAGAGTTCCTTATGGCAAATTTCAAATTTCTCTGTGTATATAATTTCTAAATCAAAAAATTGATGCCCCCTATGATCTTGCATTGTTGAACACTTTGAACATAAAGGAACATTGCATTCTTCACAGAAAATATCTATATCTTTAGTGGGGTGGATCTTGCATTTCATCACAGGGAGTTGTCGTCTATGTTGCTGATAAAGGACCACTTCATGGTTCTTGTTTTCTGCAATCTTTAGATGTTGGTCTCTGCATGATTTACACATCTGTTGATGGCAGGAATTGCAGTAGAATTCACAATTTCTCTCACAATCTTCAGTACCACACTCCAGAAAATGTTGGGCAATGCCTGGAATTTTCGGTTTGGAAAGTGCCATCTAAAATTAACATTGAAAAGTTTGTTATATGCATATGGATTTAAAAATTTTAACAGTTTTACCTATTGACTTTAATTGTTTAAGTTAAACTTAAATCAACTTCAGAAAACAATATACATGTATTTTAGTTGTCTGACACCAGTCCCACTTAAAAGGAACGCTCCCGTAAAGGTGTGAAGTTTGTAAACTATTCTGGTATATTTCCATTTCTATTTTTTTTCTCTGCGATAACTCTTTAAAAGTTGTCGGAGTCTATTTCTTGATAATTCTGCTGGAATGTAAATTAGGCAGGTTGATAGGTCAGGAGCTAAGGAGGCCTAAAATGCATGCAAATCTTGTGCACATCTGTCTCTATGTCTGATGCTAAGGAGGCAAAATGTGGATGTAAATCTCGTGCAGCTGCCATTGTGTTTGACGTCATTGGGCGAGGACTATTGAAATTGGCATGGAAGTCCTCATGTAATTTCAGTCTATGTCTACATTTTTAAAGTCTAAATCTACCATTTTATTTCACAATGAAATGAAAATATAAGGAATCACTGTCTAGTTAGGAGAGTATGCCAGGGACATCAACAATAATGGGAAAATTGGGATAATTTTAGGAAGGAGATTTTAAATCGACAGTTTAAGCAATTTTTTTGTTAAATCTTTGTACAGATTTGTTATTTACTTTCCTGGTTGGAGATTTTTATAAATCGTAAATATAGATTTGGGAAACCGTTTTTAGATTGTACGATTTAAAAAATTGTTTGTAGTACAACTATACTTTAGTACCAAATGAATAATAGTGTTAAAAATAGTATCGATGTTATTATGGGGAAAGAATGTTAGAAAGTAAACGATTTTATTTTACAAAATTATATCCAAATTCTTTTATCAAAGATATATAATTACCGGGGTATGTGTGTTTGTTAGCTCTACTGAGGCAAAAGAGTAGTGGTTGCTTAAAAAAAATCTTCATCTCAAGAACCACTGGATAGATTATCAGCAAACTTATATACAAAGATGAGAATATGTTGTAGATTAAAAATTGTTCAAGGCATCACCCTGAGGACAAAGGATATGGTCTTAAGGTGTCACTATAATAATGTTGACCAAAAGTTATGTTTTTGTTTAAACTTGGGTATTTTGCATACTATAAGGACTAGGGATAATCAAATCTTGTCAAAACAATACAAAATAGGGTAGGTCCATTAAAAATTCTTCTCAAGAACCACTGCGCCAGAAAAGCTAAACTTATGCCCTGTTCACACGACGAGTTTAATTCGAAGTAAATTAATGCGAAGTAAACTAATGCGAATCAAATTAATGCGAATTAAATTGCGTTCACACGACAGCTAATGTGAAGTAAACTAATGCGAATTAAAATTTTACTTTGACAGTTAGGCGTCAGTAAAGCGATTGTGACGTCATTTGCAAATCACGTCACCTTATGCAGGGGCAGATGCATTTGACATAATGTTACAGTGTCTGCACACACATTTTAGTGTTTAACACAATTTTCCTTAGTTTTTTACTCATAAATAGCACAAATACTTCAAACTGACCACGGACGTGTGGCATTTGACCTAATTTTGCCATTACGCATGCCTCAAAATTTAATTCGAATTAGCTTCACTTAGCGATCACATGGCCCAAATGCGATGTAAAAATTCGAATTAAACTAATTCACATTAAATTCTCCGTGTGAACGCTAAGCGAAGCTAATTCGCAGTAACTTTACGTTTAATTGGAATTAAACTCTCCGTGTGAACAGGGCATTAGGTGATAGCATCCCGGGTTAGGGTTGATTTTAAATTGTTCAAAACATGAACCATGGGGGTAGGACGGGGTCATAATGGGGAATCCCTGAATTTTACATTGAAATATGAAGAAAAAATCTTTAAAACTCTTCTTCTTGAGAACCATGTCACCCGTGTGGCGCAGTGGTTTGCGTCTGCTTTAGAGTCGCAAAGTAAGGAGTCATCCCAACCTCGCAGGTATGAATACCACTGTAGGACATAGAGAACGGTCCTTCGGATGAGACTGTATAAACCGAGGTCCTGTGTCACAGAAGGTGCTGGCACATTCCCTCACTGCTCAATGTCCCTAAGTGCCGAGTATAGGACAATATCTGCAACTCTCCATCGGCAAGTGGTGGCATTTCCATGTGAATGAAAAACTCTTGAGAGGGATGTTTAAAATGGCATACTCTCAATAAATCATCTAAAAAACCACTGGACCAGAATGTGCTGAAACTTATGAGTATGTGGAAGCATCCTGGGGTAATGTAGATTCTAAATTGTTTAAATCCTGACTCCTGGGGGTACATCAGGGGTCACAATAGCTATTACAAGGTAGAAATCAGGTGAAGAACAGCAGGTCAAAGTTACTCAGGTGAGCATTGTGGCCCATGGGCCTCTTGTTTTAAGAGATGCTAAAACTTTATCTGTAAGTTCACTTTATCCCTGTGTATACTGAACAACTATTATTATATATGAGGGGCTGAATTTTCCTTGTACAGGGTGTATGTGATTTCCAACTAAAATTCCCATACCAAAGAAATAATAGTTTTCAGTGTCTCTAAAATTTCTTGTATCTATAGGGAGAGGAACAAGCAGTGTTAGAAGAAGAACCGGTGGTGAGTTCAGGGGTCGGAGCAGCTCTAGAGCTGGCTGTTAAGAAAGGTTTGTAGAACTATTGCTTTTCAAATGAATTTTGATTGAAAAATCTTTGGAATACTTGTAGCTATTTGGAATATAAGTTCAGTACATTCTTGGGGAAAAAAGTCTTGTAAAACAGGGCTGTTTGTTTTACAGGATACATAGAAGATGAAGGGAAGAAAAATGCCATTGTGAGGAGCAAAGCTAAGCTTGACCTGGAGGTTCAGAATTACTCTATAGAAGACAAACGATATGAGTAAGTTTATTAGACAAATACTGTAAAACCTTTATACATATAAAAGTAATTCTTGAAGAAACTACCTGTACATGTATCATGTTTTCTGTAAATGGTTCTATTGTAAGAAAAAAAAATTAACTAGTTCTGTCCATATAAATCAACTAATGGGGGAAACTTTGATTCATGACTGACGTTTAAGGAAGATTTGTCATTAAGAACTACATGTATTTTTATTTGTGAGGAACAGTGACCATTTTGAAAAATAATTGTTTTAAAATGAAAATTACCTGAGCTGTTGAAAAGAAGTAGTCCTGAAAGTAAGTAAGTTTAAAACATCCCCTCCCTGAACCCCCACTGATCTCTAGATCTACTACTTTTTTCCAGTGATTTGGATGAGAAATACAGCAGGAAGAGGGACCGATACAGTGGAGGGGGAGGGCTGACTCAGGACTTCAAGGAGAAAGAGGGATATAAACCAGACGTCAAACTGGAATACGTGGACGACGGGGGGCACCTGTTAAATCAGAAGGAGGCCTTCAGGCAGCTGTCTCACAGGTTCCATGGGAAAGGCTCCGGCAAAAAGAAAACGGAAAAACGAACGAAAAAACTGCAGGAGGAACAGGTAATTTCCTATGGTTGTGGGAATTTTTATAATTAGGTAGTATACATATATATGTACATGTTCATACAAATTTTACATGTTCATACAAATTTTAGTTGGATATGCTCACAAGATGCTCACAAGAAGCATGATACTACCAGAGTGACTAAATCGTACATCTATCTTCTATTTCGGAAAAACATTTTGCAAAAAAGACTAATACTTTCAAACTTCATTATCTTGAATATAAATTAGGGATGTCAACAGGTTAACCGGGAGATTTGGGCTATCGAATTCTAAAATCGACTCGGTTACATAGGATGTATATTTTTTAATGTTTTTTAAGCTTATTTATTAATGCATAAAATATCGGTTTTAAACGTAAAATGTTCTGCACTTGTACATACAGTAATTAGGGTTTCCTGAGCCTCTAAATGGTTATCACCTGTGGCAGATACAGTAATTACCGTGACCAAGAGGCCTTTTCTCAGGTTCGCTGTCTTTTACAGGTTTATTCTAATTATTTGTTTTCATTGAACATCGTTTAAGGTCTATTATATATGTTTAGATAAATTAGAAATTTTGTCAATTCTCCAGAAATTCTACGAGACACGATAAAAATTGCACGTGCGATTGTTGATATGGATGGTAATTTGCCAATTAATGCAAATGGTTGAATGCAAAGGTTTTAAAAGAATTAAAATTTTATAATTAGGTACAACATAACGTCTCGTAATTTTAATGAAATCATATATATGTACATGTTCATTGATAAATTTTACATGTTCATACAAATTTTAAACGTCAAACGCATTGATACATGCAGATTATTTTTTTAAACAAAACCACTGTGGGCCATTTATGATTTTATTTCTTATTTATCTAAAATCAATTGGACTTTAAAAATGTTAGATTAAATTTCGTACAAAGTTGTCATAATTTACAGGTAAAAACCATGTGGTTTTATTTCAATGTTTTGCAGTCAGTTGTTCATAAAGGACTTTTAATACTTTCAAACTTCATTTAAAAATTGACCGATTTGAATCCCTAATGAATAGATTGTTGAGAAGAACTCTGAGAGATTTGTTCATCTGTCTGAAGTTCTTAAGTTGACCCAACATTAATAGGTTCAAGTAGGACTCTTCGGCAAATCCCTAGTGTTTAAAATACATAAAACATTCAAAATACCGAATGTCTGCTGTTATTATAATTTCTTTTTATCTGGATTACAGTTGATGAAGCAGATGAGTTCCACAGACACGCCCCTAGGTACGCTGAACATGCTTAAGGATAAGTAGAGAACAGAAATCACCTTACATTGTCCTGTCTGGCTCCAAAGGTTTCTCATCGTAAGTACATGTATCTTTTCAAAGGAAAGATTTACTCTTTTGGTTTGTAATTGTTCATATTTAAGAACATTCTATACATTTACAGACAAATTTTACATAGTAAAAAGAGGGATTTAAAATTGCAAATGAAGTAAATGAATAATGAGTAAATTTTGTATCAATTTTGAAAAATTTATACCAGGGCTAGTTTTTTTTTTCAACAAGATATTTGTTGTTCTTTTTTTACACAGATAAATGCTGATTTACCGGTAGATGTAATTTCAAATTCTTTTTTCCCCGTTTTATTTTCAATGAAGATTTTTGCCTTCAATCTTAAGTGCTGAAACCTGAAGCAGGGGTTCAAAATTCCTCAAGCCCGACGTCCCGGACTAACAAATTCCGGATCCGGACTCGGCATTTAGAATTCAACAAAGTCCTGGGACTTGGCTATGTTTCTTGTTTATCTTTTTTTATAAATTAAAAAATGATCGTATCTAAAATAAAGCAAATTCTCAAACGTATTAAGTTAAAATGTGGGTTTGTGGGCGTTAAATTAAATAAAACATTACGAATGTTTAAAAATACAATCCGTCTTTTTATTTTCTGTTGCGGTTAGACTCTTGCTTTTACGAAATTTCTCATGTTTCCTCCTAGAGTTGGTTGAATTTCGGTTATAGCTGTGACTTAGGGCCTACAGAACATTCTAATCTCTATTTATTGTAACAGATGATTTATTCAGTAGTGAGTATTTGTAAAAGTTATTGTAATGTACCAATAATCTATCAGTCTGTATTGTGTTCAAATACTCATTTGACATGTATGACTATATGACAGTTTATGGAGGAAAAATAAAACATATATTAATACAAATACTAGTAGTCTTTATTCATTCAATGCAACAAATGAAAATAAATTATAAATAACATAAATTTAATGATGTATAGGTAAATATGGACTCTGAAATTTCTTCCTCGGACTTGCCTAAAATTTACTCTTTAAGTCCTGGACTTGACCATGACAAAAAAAATTTTGAACCCCTGCTGAAGTGAGTACTGTTGTTGAGTTCTTTTCATTGTTTATTTTCAGAAATTCGATCATTAAACCAAGCCAAACTTGAATCTGGATGAATGTTACTTGCATTTCCTAGACTTTGAATGCAGATAACATACAAGAAGGAGGTCAACTACAGACAGTAAACATCCCTTGAGCAGTCTGTGATTTATTGGCTCACTAAATCAAAACATTACATTGCATCATGATTTTATTGGCTCTGACAGTAAATAACGACATCTACACTTGTACATTGCATCATTTTATCTTTGTTAGATTCCACAACTGTCAATAAAAACATGAAAACAGATTTAAGGCTTATCTTTTATATGTATAAACTTATCTCCCATTGAGTATTTTTTGACTTGTAGACCTTTAAGTTTCGTGTCGAGTGAGGGATTTGAAATGTTTTGATGTGAAAAAATACCAGAAACAAATACTGGAAACTTCATTTTGAAAAAGCACAGATCTCCCAGCTACTCCCTGTTACATATACCCACATGCACAAAGTATGTTTTAAGGAATTAATGCAGGACAATGTGTATCTTTTATACCCCCATCCCCTAGCTTGAAAAGGGGGTTGGGTACTAGTAATATGATTTGTTTGTCCTTCTGTCTTGAACACTAGGGAGTACCTATATCTTGTATGCAATTCCTATAATAATGAATGAAATTAAATGAGACTTTCACAGAATCTTTATTACATACAGAATATCATTTTGCTTTTCCTGTCTTATGTTCTGATGTGACATTTACTAGTATTAAGTTTCCCATAACAAACAAGAGGCCAAGGGGCCACATCGCTCACCTGAGCAAATCGGCTAGGAAAAATCACAAATCAGATCAGAACTGAAAGATTCACTGAAGGGGGTGGGGGGAGGGCTTGAATTTTAATACTACTTGAGATTGCCTTCATATTACTGCAGCATATGACTTTGCTATTCCTGATAAATAGATTTTTTTTAAACATTTTCTTCCTATATATAACTTCATAATAATTTGAATTTGATTCCCCATGTTTCCCTCCCTACCCCAAAGGGCCATGATTTGAATAAATTATTTTCAATACAGGAGGATGCTTAAATGTCAATATGACTAAACATAGCTTTTCTGTTCTTGGGATTTTTTCCTTTATTTTTCTATGTAAAACTTTGATCCACCATTGTGGCCCCACCCTACCCTTGGTGGTTATGATTTGAACAAATTTAATTCTAACACTACCAGAAAATGCTTCCATATAAATACTAGTACTACTAATAATGGCTTTGCTATTCTTGAGAAGATTTTTTTTAAATATATATTTTATTGTGAAACTTGGATCCCCCATTGTGGCCCACCCTATCCCTGGGGGTTATGATTTAACCAAACTACAATAAAAGTTTTGTAGAATCGACACTACCTGAGGATGATTCCACATAAATATCACTAATGGCTTTGAAATACTTGAGAAGAAGATTTTAAAAGATTTCCCCTATCTAGTCCTGTGTAGAACTTTTTTTTCCCCCCCCCCCCTCCCCAATTCCCAGGGGTCATAATTTGAACAAACTTGAAACTACACTAACTGAGGATGATTTCACATAAGTTTCATCTTTCCTGGCCCAGTGGTTCTTGAGAAGAAGATTTTTAATTTTTTTTTCTATATATTCCTATGTAAAACTTTGATCAGTCATTGTGGCCCCACCCTACCCCCAGGGGTCATGATTTGAACAAACTTAAATATACACTATCTGAGGATGACTCCACATGAGTTTCATCTTTCCTGGCACAGTGGTTCTTGAGAAGAAGATTTTTAAAGTTTTCACTATATACTCCTATGTAAAACTTTGATCGGCCATTGTGGCCCCACCCTACCCCCAGGGGTCATGATTTGAACAAAATTGAATCTACACTACCTGTGGATGATTTCACAAGAGTTTCATCTTTCCTAGCCCAATGGTTCTTTAGAAGAAGATTTTTGAAAATGCCATTAATTTTTCACTAATTCATAATTATCTCCCCTTGGAAAAGGGTTTGGCCTTTATTTGAACATACTTAGATTCACCTAAGGATTTTGTGGCAAGTTTGAATTGAAACTGGCCCAGTGGTTCTTATAAAATAAAAGTTTACACCGACGACGACAGACAGTACGACAAAGTTGTTTTCAGAAAAGCTCACTTGAGCCTTCGGCTCAGGTGAGCTAAAAAGGGACTTTGCCAATTATATACATCTAAAAGCGGGTATTGTGAGCCCAGTGTTAAGTACCTTTTTTTCAATTTTTCCCAGAGGCTGTATATTAATCAAGAGCTCGCAGATTCAAATAACAGGTAATAAAATGTTAACTTTAAGACTGGAAGAGCTTTCATTGTATATCTAACCATCGCCTGATTTTGTGCTTAACTGGCATGTTTTCGCCTTTTTGGTCAGAACAGTCACTCATCTATAGTGCATAAACATTTCATATTTTGTGTGTTTTTATATAACTTAAAAGTTTTATATTCCGATATCCCCAATTACTTCCAGTTCTCAGAACAATTTCTACTCTACCAATCAACCAGTAAGGTTAAATGTTCTGTATAGAAAACAATATTCCTTGCTTTTACTTATGACAATTCATTGGAATTTCAAATATTTCCTCTTTGCAGAAGTGTGCTTTTATTATATGCCTGGTTATAATTTGTAGGATTTTTTTTTTATAATTGACATGTACATGTATAATTATTTGAAGTAAAACTCAATTTTCATAAAAGCAGTTTTCTAAAGACACCAAGCCTTTGCTTCATGAAAAGAGATGACAATTCTTTCATTTTTATTAACAATGATGAAATTTTCAACAAAAATTAAAAAATACATATTTATAAAAGTATTCATTGTACAGAATGTCAAATTGCAATAGAAATAAAATTGGTGACATATCAAATATGAATGAGCACTTTTCATTTCACAATATTTTACTTCTATGATTAACAAGTGCAAATAAACAATGTTATTTCACAGTAAAAAAAAAATGTAAAAGAGGATTTTTTAATCCTTCTCAAATTCTCCACTTTGAACTCGTACATTAAAACAAAGCAAGGATTTATAATCGTTCCATTTGTCAATGCCCGAAAGTGTTTCTTCTAAACAGAATAAAATTGCTAAAATTCCGTCTTTCACACAGTTCTGAGAGGTCAATTCACTGTGAACACTTGGAGGAGTCACCATTGGTTAATGCTTTTAAAACTGGCTTATCCTGAGCCTATTCCAAATGATTCCGAGAATTCAGTATTATTAGGTCCATTTGCAGGAAAGTTGGATTTTCATTTTGCAAATGCATCTGGAGGAATCTTGTTTTCTTTCTGAAAAGGAGAAATGAAACACTTTTACAATCCAAAAACCCATGAATACAATGTACACATGTATATCCAGTGATACTATAAATACACTTATTTTAGCAGTAATCTGATTTTAATGCCTTTTTACTGGTAAATTTCCACTTACTCATATACACGGTAATACATGACTCAAACTAATATACATGTATAGTGGTTTGCATTTAGCAAGTGCACTGACATAAGTGTGCTAATTTATGTAATTAAGAGCACTTAATGAGGCTTTCAATTTTTTTTTGGGGGGGGGGGTGTCTCTTTTTCAAATTACAAACTTATTTGGTGTGTTTAGGCACAAATTGTACCTGCAATTCCAGGAATATTTCTCCTGATTTCTCATAATTCCAACCATTTTGTTCCAGACATCTGCAAAAAAAATATTAAGCTTGATTATCCATAAAACAAAATTCTAAATCTAATGTAAATGAAAATTTCTAGGGACGGAAAAAAATGAAAATAGGTAGTATTTTTAGCACTTCCGAGAGGTTCCTTGCAAATGTGTTTTATTGGATATAAAATAAACAACTTACTTGATGGACCATTCATGGTTCATGCCTGACTGAGCAGCGAACTGTTGATTCATCTGCTGCTGCTCGGCTGTGTATGTGGAGGGACCAGCCTGAGTGAACGGGGCCGGGGGTGATGCCTCAGGGACAGGGCTAGAAGAGGGGGTAGGGGCAGGGTGCTTAAAGGCTTTCTACAAACAGGCAAACAAAATCATAGTTAAAAATGCACGTAGGTTTTTAAACAATTGCTTAAATCTTGTATTCTTTATTCAGTGTGTTGTTTACTCCTTATACACTTGCATGTATTTTTAAAATGTTTTAAGGTCAAGATCTAGTAAATGACTTAAGAATAACTTTTCAGTGCTAAATCCATTATGACGTCATAATCACTTTCAACTTTCTGTTTCCCGTACTTTACGGCTCTAATAGTATTATGTAGAAAATAAAATATTTTCATAGAATTCAATGTGAAATCACATGAAAAGTAGTCCCGATACCTATCTTAAATTAAATATTATTTTAAAGCAGAGTCACCAGGGATTGACACTAACTTTAAAACCATAGTTGTCAGCAGGGCTAGCCATTTCTAATTTCTACTAGCCCTGTTCATGTGTTACTTGTCCAACAGCCGAAGGCTGGTGGCCGAGTCGCGAAGCAACGATGGGGGTAGGTGCGGGAGGGGGTTTCCCTCTCCTGCTGGTGGGGGTACGGGTAGATAGAATGTTCTATCGTTAAAAATGATATTGTCCTACGGACCCGGTTTAACGATAGAATTCGTTCCGTGTATTCGTAATGTAGCAAAAAGAAACACGGGCGATAACTCGCATAGTCCATTTACTAGGAACAATCTAGAGAGTTCCGAATGTGAACATGGCAGGTAATTTGAATCTCGAGAAAAACGTTGAGAAAATTAATGGGATTTTCGTATTTATATGGATTATTTTTTGGGATAAAAGGCATAAGCAATCTCAAAAAGGTTTGTTTTGATTATTTTGGTAGTTATTCCCAGTGCAAATCATTTTATATTCTTCAAAATCGTTTCGGCTAGTTGATATTTTTTAAAACATTGCAAGTATATGGGACGTGTTCTAACTGTGGTGAGGGCTTGTACCGAGACACAGTTAGATTATTCTAACTAGTACAATCATAGAGTGACATATAATTTTTACCCAAAATACAGCCAGAATGCAGGATTTTGCACTTTTTCAAAATTTCCCGGCAGGCCCCCGTACCCTAGTTAGAATTGTAATTGTGTCTCGGTACAAGCCCTCACCACAGTTAGAACACGTCCCATAACTTGCAATGTAGCAAATCGGAGCGGATCCGCTCCGGAACGATTTTGAAGAATATAAAATGATTTGCACTGGGAATAACTACCAAAATAATCAAAACAAACCTTTTTGAGATTGCTTATGCCTTTTATCCCAAAAAATAATCCATATAAATACGAAAATCCAATTAATTTTCTCAACGTTTTTCTCTCGATTCAAATTACCTGCCATGTTTACATTCGGAACTCTCTAGATTGTTCCTAGTAAATGCACTATGCGAGTTATCGCCCGTGTTTCTTTTTGCTACATTACGAATACGCGGAAGGAATTCTATCGTTAAACCGGGTCCGTAGGACAATATCATTTTTAACGATAGAACATTCTATCTATGATTGTACCTAAGGCATTCTTTCTATTCGAAAAATTCCATATTTACGTTTAATGATTTAGGGTATTACAAATCATTTACAAAAATAAAAATTATGATGATAAAACATGTTTGAAAATAAATTTAACAATTATCAGGTATACTGTGTGTAAATTATAATTATTTTCTTGCTCCTAGTAATTGGTAAAATTTACTGTAGCCCTGCAGGGCAAGTTTAAAGACATGTTTGGTAGCCCGACCTCAGTATTCAGTTGTCCCGGGCCAGCGGGCTAGCTTAGTGTTGAACCCTGCTGAGTCTATGAACATACAAATAACCCTTTTCTGAAAAACTGTAGGCAATCTGGATACATTTTCTTTGTTTGATATGGAAAAAACTTCCATTTTCAATTCTGGCTTTCTTAATTTTTCATTGAAAATGACAGTTTAAAATATGGTTTTTCATCTTGTTTTTCTACAAATTATGCCCCGAAACACCTATTTTGACCAAGCTAATGTTATAAAGCATCATTAAAGGAATTAATTTCTTAAATTTGAAAAATCTGTAGGCACCTTCCATTTACTAGATCTTGACCTTAAATGTACATAATTATTTCTGAATTGTAATGAAAATGTGTTACATGTATCCTAAAGGTTAAATAACTAAAACCTGTATTTGATCTCTGGAGGTATTTGTTATTGTCAGCATGTCGTTGATGATATTCATTCTGCGAGAGAGAAAAAAAGAAAAGTTAAATAACTAGAGAAGATACAAATTCATAAAGTCACCAAAGTATGTTCATATCAATAGTCTAAGACCTTTCTACCTGTTTTGGATGTTTTAGAATGAACACTCATAAATTAAGTTTCAAAAACAAACTTCAAAATGTATAAACAGCTGTAGAAGTGGTTTTTTTTTATTGACTGCTGAAGTATGATTCCTACTAAACTACATGTATGTACAATTCCAGTAATTTCTCCTGCTATATGTTTGATTTCAACATACGTTTCATTCTCATCTATTTTCAGTATGATTATAATTACCCTGCCCCCTGTGGAACTGTAATAAACCGACGACTAAATGCTCTAATGGGAGGTCTATCTGACTTGCTTTCAGCTAAAAGAAAACAAAACTAGAATCCAATCTCAATTTTTTCAAATCTAATTTCATCATCTTTTAATTAAAAGGAACTAAATTGCATTTTTTTTAAATATAATTTGAGTTTAAAAGAATTTTATCTTCAACACATCATGACATGACAACTTACTCTCTTTGAACACGCTTTCTACGACAAAACTTCTGACGTTTGCCTGTAATGATAACATTTAACTTTTAAGTATTTAAGTAAGGGTTTTAAGATATAGTAAAAGACTTTGATATGGTTTTTTGTATTTCACAATTCAAACCAAAGAATGTGTTAGATAAATATGATGAAGAGATAGAGGGTGTCAGGAGAGAGAAGTTTGATCCCGAAACAGATGGACGAAATTCGTAAACAGCTGAGGGAGCAGAGTCAGTCCCTGGGAGGAGTGACCTTGAACCCCATCAATGAGTACCTCACCCCTCAGGAAGCAGCTGTTAGTATCATCAACCGACCTACTTTCTGTAGATTTCATATACATGTACGAAGTACAAGAAAAAATTTCAAGATGTAATTTGACAGATACAAAGTGCATGATTCTAGGAAAAAATGGAAAAGAAACTCTCCGAAGTCAAAATTGTAAAGCGTTTTTAGTTGTAAAAATTTCATACCAAGTACATGAGAAAGTTACCCTACATAAATCTGGTGTCAAATATACTAATATTTGTTTTAAAGGATGCAGCAAAGTTTAAAAAGGTTAAAAGAAAGTAAGGAAAATCAGAAAGAAAGAATCACTAAAAGCAGATGACCTTCTTCCTCTGCCAAATCAAGGTCAGGAGGACACAGATTATGGGTCAAGGTAAAGCTTGTACATGTATTTTGAATGAAGATAGTTAAAGGGAAACATCTGATTAAAAGTTACACAATTTGATTGGTATATGTGAAGAATCAAAGAGTACTGTAATCAAAAGCTGCTAATTTAATTATAAGAATTACCTTGTACATAAGTGTTCATGAATTGCAACTGTTACATGAAGTTCAATAATAAAGCTTAGCAAGTTAATCTGTCTTCATTATACATTAAAGAACCTTTCAGAAAGAAAAGATATGATATACGGATTTTTCTTTCAGGAAAAGAGGGAGGGGTTACATGCAAGAGGAGGAGGAGGCTGCTGAGGGTCAGACAGGGTATGAGAACGGTTATGGTGGGGGTGGGGGCATGACGGCTCCCATCGTGATCGACTATGCCCACGGTCACACAGCGGTCAGTGTTAATGACCAGCCAATGGAGGTCACAGAACCAGAGGAAGAGGAGGGTACGTGTGTACTGGATTTTAATGTCTGCAATTATGTACCTAATTCAAACATACAGAACATGTATACTTGATATTTATATTTGAACTTTTGTTCCAATTTCACACAAATGGAATCACAGTTTAATATGGGGAAAACTGTGAAATTTTTTTTACCAACATACACACTGTTAAAAAAAATTATTTTACAAATAAAACCTGTATTGAAATATTCACTTTGTTTGAATGAATATAACTAGCTTTCACCACTTAGCATCATGCAATGCTTGCAGACATTTAATCCAATTTTTAAGAATTCACGCAAATTCAAAAATTGAAGTTAGAGCTAAATTGACTAGAATTCACAGTAAGATGAACTACATTTTAATTAATATATATAAATTAAGTATTTTTCAGACTTGGTTGGTCCAGATGAGGATCTCAGTAATGTTGTAACAGAGGAAGATGAGGCAGAGAAGGAGTTACACTCGGCTCTGTCTAAAGGCAGGAAAATCAAGCAGAGGAAAGATGCCTCAGCTGTCGTCAAGGTAGAAATCCAACTCTAGTAGTCAGTTTAAAAAATTGATAATGTGAGATAATTGGTTCTCTAAATAAGGTTATCCAATTGGTATGTGAAAAGGCTAACTTTGAAGTCATGCGTAAGAAGATATCAGTGGGCAAATATTGTTTACCTCACATTTGGCACAATTTTGATTAAGTAGAAAACAAAAATAGATATTTTCTTGATAAATGAGAAGCCATTTTCTTCTTGTATTTTTAGGTAGCAGAGTAGGTACTCTTAAAAGCCAAGTCAGAGCCTGAGGAAGAAGAGGAAACCCCCAGGACGGTAACATTATCCTCAATGCCAACTGAGTTCTGTAGAACCCTGGGGGGTGTTCCTACGTACGGCCAATCAGGGAACAGAGAGGAAGACCAGGAGGATTTCATGGTCAGTCGGTAGATGTGTGTTTGAATGACAGGAGGTTATTTGTTTGGAGGATTTTTTCTGTTCCATTTTAATTTTTCTTTTTTACACATTCTCAAGATTTTGCTCCTTTTTAAATTCACCCAGTTACAGTTCTATTTCAGAGACTAAACTGTGTTCTTTGAATTCACCTTATTTGAAATATGCCCACCTGTGAGTGTGGCAAAAAAGGGTTAAAATTTCCTGAAAAGCAATATTTAGAGTCTGTAGATATTTGTTTGAGGGAGAGAGGTTATTTGTTTGATAAAATCTACGAAAGGGGTTAAATGCATGCATAAACATTCTTCAAGAGATTGAGGCAGTGATCATCATGGTATGATCTACATTACAAAAATACTTATTCATATATTATAAAGTTAAAGATCAGGAATTCTGATCCATGCACCTTTGTCTTTTCATAAGAATATATAAGAAATATATAACCCTAGGTTTATTTTCTGTGGCATTTGGATTTCAGTGTCTATGAAATATGTTCTTAGCAGTTTTTCTTAGAATCAGTAATATTTTCAGGATTTTGAGAAAGAACTTGAAGAACGAAGGAAAAAAGAAGATGAGGAACAAATGTCAGGTTGGAATGTTGTTGAAATTGACGAAACACCTGTCAATATCACTGTAAGTATTTATTTACCTGATGTCAATATCACTGTAAGTATTTAAGTTTGCAGTACCTGTAAAATGGTTGTATCTGGGACCTTCAAATTTTATAATGAATTGATAAATTTTTTTGGCTCACCTGAGCCAAAGTCATCAAGTGAGCTTTTCTGATCAAAATTTGTCCGTTAATTGTTATCGTAAACTTTTCACATTTTCATCTTCTTCACAAGAACCATTGGGCCAATTTCAACCAAACTTGCCACAAAGTATCCTTGGGTGAAGGGGACTCAAGTTTGTTCAAATGAAGGGGCACGCCCTCTTCCAGGAGAGATAATTATGAATGAGTGATAATTTAATTATATCTTTTATAAATCTATTTCTCAAGAACCAGTAGGCCAGGAAAGACGACAGTTATGTGGAAGCATCTTCTGGAAGTGAATATTCAAGTTTGTTAAAATCATGACCCCCCAGGTGTAGGGATGGGCCACAAATGGCTGATCAAAGTATAGATTCAATTTTGTGCAAATTCAACCCCAGGGGGTAGGGTGGGGCACAACATGGAATCCAAGATTTACATAGAAATATGTAGAAAATTCTTTAAAAATCTACTTTTCAAAAATGGCAAAGCCATAATTAGTCATATTAATATGGAAGCATTCTCAGGTAGTGTAGATTTAAGTTTGTTCAAGTCATGACCCCTGGGTGTAGGGCGGGGCCACAATGTAAGTTAATGTAAAAGGCCATAAAGAAGCTACAGTTAGTTAAAGAAATATGCAAGCATCCTTAGTGTAGATTCACGTTCGTTCAAATCATACACTCTCCCATTTAAGGATTAGTTGGGACCACTTTTGGGTTTAAACTTTTCAATAATAAACGGATTTCTGCTTTTTTCCAAGCTACAGTACTCAGGTGAGCAATATAGCCCCTGAGCCTCTTATTGTGAGCGTTTTCAATTAGGCCAAAAAATAGATACTCTTGTTTCCTGTGACCCGACCTTCCCTACATTTTACCCTCTGACCCAAAAAGTTTTTTTTTTACATTTTCATTTTTAGCTCACCTGAGCTGAAAGCCCAAGGGAGTAGGGTGGGGCCACCATAGTTGCCAACTCACCCGATATCATCGGGTCACACCCGATTTTTCAACCCGTAACCTGATTATTTTTTATGACCCTGCGGGTCATGCTTTTCACCCGATTTTTGCCGAACAACCCGAAAATCTCCCGATTTCCGGATTTGGTTCGTAAATTAGGTTGCACTTTTAACTTTCAGTTACAACCCAAGATTAGATCTACGTTAACAATGCTGATGGATTAATTAATATCAGTGCAGGTGTAAACAAATAACTGGGTGTTGTTTTGACAAATCAATGTTTGAAGTCAATTAAAATGGCTTCTGATAGAACTAGATCATTATCAGGGCCAGCAGGAACAAATTGAACCAAACACATCTCTGATTGAACCAAGAAAAAGAGAAATAATATTAACAGCGTACCGTTATGTACATATCAAGGAATCTTGGGGAAAAAACTTTCATTCTAGATAAAATAAAGTGATCGAAGACAATGTAGGCCTAAATTCACATTTAATACATATTGCAGTAGTTAATTTATAAAGAGAGAGGACAAATAACTTCAAAACTGAAATTTAGCAGAAACTGAAAAGACTTTTAAAAACATGCACACTTACTTCAGGTCAATACTGAAATATGAAACCTTCAATTCTCTTTTTAGGTCACCTGAGTAAACTCAGGTGACCTATTGCTATCTGTTTTCGTCCGTCGTCGTGCGTTGTGCGTTAACACTTGAACATTTTCAGCTTCTTCTCTGCAACCACTGAATCAATTTCAACCAAATTTGGCACAAAGCATCTATGGGTGAAGGGGAACAAAAATTGTGAATTTCATGGTCCCTGCCCCCTTGGGGCCTGGGGGTGGGGCAAAAACCACTAAAATTAATGCAATCTTTAAAAATCTTCTTCTTTGCTCCTGGACATTAAGCAGTCAAACTGTTGGCATGATTGTAATCAGCATTGAGTCCTCTACTAAAATTGTGAAATTCATGGCCTTGGGGTCAGGGGTTCTATTGCTAGGGCGGGGCTAAAATAGTATATTGTGAAAATGCATTATTTCTTTGAAAATCTTCTTCTCTGCTCCTGGGTATTAAATAAACTAACAAAGTGCATAGTTATGATGAGCAAGAGTGCCTCTACCAAAATTGTGAATTTTATGGCCCCAGGGTCAGGGGTTCTGGTGTTAGGGCAGGGCTCTATAGATTATATAGTGAAAATTCATGAATTCTTTGAAAATCTTCTTCTCTGCTCCTGGGTATTAAATAAACTAAGTGCATAGTTATGATGTGCAAGAGTGCCTCTACCAAAATTGTGAATTTTATGGCCCCAGGGTCAGGGTTCTGGTGTTAGGGCGGGGCTCTATTGATTACATAATGAAAATACATGAATTCTTTCAAAAAAATTTTTTTTTTGGTCCTAGGAATTAAATAAACTAAGTACATAGATATGATGAGCAAGAATACCTCTTCCAAAATTTTGATTTTATGGCCCTAGGGTCAGGGGTTCTAGTGATAGGGTGGGGCTCTATTGATTATATAGTGAAAATACATTAAATCTTTGAAAATTTTATTCTCTGCTCTTGGGTATTAAGCAGATGAACTACCTATGTAGTTATGATGAGCAAGGACCCTAATCTTCCAGAATTGTGAATTTCAAGGCCCCAGGGTCAGGGGTACCATGGGGGGGGATGCACTTATATACTGAAACTGGATGAATTGTTTGAGATTTGCTCCTTGGTATTAATCAAATATTTTTGAAAAGCAAGGGTGCCTTTTCAAAAATTGTGCAATGTGTGGATCTAGGCCTAAGGCTCAGGGGTTCATGTGTGATAGGGGCATTAATTATTATTGCTGAATATTACTGATTACTTGAAATGCATTTTTTTTCCCACCCTGCCTATGGGTATTAAGTAAACAAACTAAGCAACTGCTAAGTGTATTGTTATGATTATCAATGGTGCCTCTTTCAAAATTGTGAACGCCATAGCATCTGGCTTAAAACATGAATCAAATTAAATCACTGGAAAGTTGTTGCATAATGCTCAGGTGACCTGTAAGGCCCATGGGCCTCTTGTTTAACATGTAAATTTAATCAAATTATGTATGAATTTTTTGTCATTGTAAATTAAAGCCTTTTTCAACAAAAGAATTCTCAATACACAAATACTTCAAATTGTATATATATATGTATAAAATTTAATCATGGTAAATGTGTCGTGAATGTCGTTACGCGTTATGACCAGATTTTTTACTTTCCAAATCTGGTCATGACCAGATTTTTACATGCTGGAGGTTGGCAAGTATGGGGGCCACAATAGAGAATCCAAGTTTAACATAGAAATATGTAGGACAAATTATTAAAATCGTCTTCTCAAGAACCAGTGGGTTAAACGTAAGCTTAAACGTATGTGGAAGCATCCTGGGGTTATGTAGATTCTAAATTGTTCAAATCATGAGTGCTGGGGGTAGGGTGGGGGCCACAATGGGGAATCCAAGTTCTACATAGAGATATATAGGAAAAATCTTTAAAAATCTTCTTCTCAAGAACCACAGGGCCAGTGGAGTTGAAACTTATATGGAAGCATCCTGGGGTAGTGTAAATTTCAATTTGTTCAAATCATGACCCCTGGGGGTTGGGCAGGGCCACAATGGGAAACGAAATTTTTACATAGGGATATGTAGGAAAGATCTTTAAAAATCTTCTTCTCAAGAACCACTGGACCAGGAAAGCTGAAACTTACATTGTATGTGGAAGCATCCTTGGGTAGTGCAGATTCTAAATTGTTAAAATCATGACCCATGGGGTAGGACGGGGCCACAATAGGGAATCCAAGTTTTACAGAGAAAGAAAAAGAACTACTAGGCCAAAAAAGCTGAAACTCATGTGGAAGCATCCTGGGGTAGTGTAAATTTCAAATTGTTAAAATCATGACAGATAGGGGATGGAGTAGGAGGCCACAATAGGTAAAATAAGAGAGGAAATCTGGTAAAGAACTACATCACCAAAGTTAGTCAGGTGAGCCCATGGGTCTCTTGTTTAGAGGGCTATTTTCCTGAAATACTCAAGTCGACCAACAATATTTACAGAACTAATGCATCACAAGTGTACAGGATATGTTTACTTTGTAAATCTTTATTAACAAACTTGCTTTGTAAACTGTTAACATACTGTTTTCTTGTTATTTTATGCTATATGTTCTGCATTCATTGAGTTTTGGAAATTGATTTTTTTTTCTCAAAATAAATTTTTCCCTACCTACCCTATTTTTTTTTTTGGTCAGAAGACAGAAAACAAGAGTATATTTTCTTTTGGCGTTAGTCAGCGTCTGATTTTCTGAACCTGAGGTTCAGAGTATCTTATATTCATTTCCTTAAATATTTGCATTTCCAATGTCTTTGTCCAAGATAAAATTACAAATAATAAACATACTTTATTTCTTCATGTATGCACTGGTTCATAGATAGACACAGTTAAGAAAAATCACGAAAAATCAGGATAAATGTAGAGACAGACGCGGGGCTTAGAGCACATGGATTGGCAGAATTAAGCGCATATATATATATATATATATATATATATATATATATATATATATATATATATATATATATACGGATGATGCTTCTCGCGAAATTACGCGATAATTAATTCCTCACTTATAATTAGGAATCTACAGTATATATGAATAACTGTCTTATTTTTCATTTTCATGATGATGATCAATTGATTGGCTTGCATGATAATTTTATGCATAAACTCCTTCGGTGTTTATGCAAATTATTACACAAACCAATCGATTGATCACATCATGAAATCGAAAAGTAAGACAGTTACCGGTATTTCTTAAATAAATTTTTTATGATATAACAATATGTTTTAAAAGCATCAGTATTAGAATTAAATCACTTCACTGTAAGCATGAATTAATTACTGAACTATAACTGTTATTAACT